TATGTAGCAATTATGTTACTCGGAATACTGACTTCTTGTTTGTACAAAATCGTAGGACATTTTTATTTGAAAAGTCACCATTTTACAATTGTGTTGTACTTTACAATAAGTTTTCACATGATGTACGATATCGGTGGTTTTATATATGTCCGTAATGCGGTGATTTATCTCAATTTATCTTAATTTTTGACTTGCTATATACACATCATGTGTCTTATGTGGTTAACTCTTAACCACCCACCTGGCGTCTGACGGACTACGCGAAAAATAAATTGATGTTTATTTATGTAATTTGAACGCCTACGTGTAGCTTTGTGTAATAAAATTCTGTCAAGTGAAATGGCTGGTCCATCGAGAAGAGTACGGTACGGGGGTAAAGATTTCGAAGAAACTATGTGGAAATGGTATAATGAACAGGACGATGATGCAAGTGATATAAACAGTTCTTCGGAAAATGAAAATATACCATCAGAACGTGTCTCCATCTCAGATTTTTCCGAAGATGATGTTAGTAAAAGTGAGCCAGTCGAATCAGAAGGAGAAAGAAAAAATATTATGATGGCCAAAATCGTTATAGCTGGTGTGCTACAGAGGTTCACGTACAAAAAATATAATAAAGTAGTGAAAGTTCCCATACTAAGAGGAAAAGCTCGTGATCTTGAACAAACTGCTGATCCACTTTCAGTACGGAATTTGCTGATTTCTCAAGACATTTTCGTTCAGATTATGGAATGGACAAGCCACAAATTGTCTGAAATGCGGTCTAGATATATATACTAAGTGACATATAAATCCGAACACCCAGTTTAAATGGTTTTATTCTAATTAAATTTTGTATAAGTACTTAATGAAGCATAATAAGTAAATGATAAAAATTTCAAAATGATTGCACTGCTTTAAAGCTCTTTGACCTTTAATAATGTGTGGATGCACCCTGATGTGCTACGCATTCTCCAACGCGCCTAGGCATGCTTCTGATCAGGTGGTCAAGGTCCTCCTGTAGTATCTCATTCCAGGCAACCACCAACTCCTCTCGAAGTGCTTCTAGAGTCTGAGGAGGACGTTGCAAATTGAGCAATCTCCTACCCATCATATCCTACACGTGCTCAATTGGGGATAAGTCGGGATATCTTGGTGGCCATGGTAACAATGTGACATCATTATGTTGAAAGAAGTCTATTGCGACTCTTGCAACATGTGGTCGGGCATTATCTTGTTGGAAAGTTGGATCTGTCAGGGTGTCAAGATAGGGTAAAAGATGGGGTTCTAGAACTTCGTGGATATAACGCTGCGCGTTTATGTTACCTCTGATGAAGATTAAAGGTGACCTGGAACCATAAGCTATAGCACCCTAAACCGTAACTTCAACAGTGTGATGAACATGTCTTTCAACAAAAAACTGTGGATTCCTCCTTTCACCACGTCGCCTTCTAACCCTGGCACGACCATCGTGCATACCTAAACAAAATCGAGACTCGTCACTAAAGACAATACTGCTAATTTCCTGATCCCAGAGTGACCGTTGTCTGCACCACTCAAGGCGATTACGTCGGTGTTCTCGAGTTAAAGGGATGACCCAGTGTGGCCGGTATGAAAACAAGCCAAAACTTCTCATTCGTCGGTAAACACTTCGCATGCTAATAGGTCTTCCGTGTTCTGCAAACCATTCATTTGCAATGGACCTGTTAGTGGAGAAACGGTCCCTTAAGGCCAATAATCTTAGGCGGCGGTCTTCACGGTCTGTTGTTCTACGGCGGCGTCCAGTGCCCCTTGCTCTTTGCGTACCGCCTTCTCGAAGCCATGCCTGACAACACCTAACCACAGTGTCTACACTTCTTTGCACTCTAACTGCAATTGCCCGAAAAGAAAGTCCAGCTTCCCGAAGTCCCACTATACGGCCCCTATCAAACTCACTAAGTTGACGAAATCGTACAGGTCTCCGTACTCTAGGCATCGTAACCGATCGTAAAGGATGTCAAGAACCAAAATCCGCCAACGTTGATTCTTTACTGCGGCTGAAATATTCATTTTTAGAGCGTTAGTGAATTTAAAAAAAAGCAGTATAAAAACCGGAATGTCCAACTGATAAGGCTGAAAATTTTTTCACTCGTTATTTACAGTAAGATAAATACATTCACCAACTTTTATTAAAATAAAACCATTTAAACTGGGTGTTCGGATTTATATGTCACTTAGTATAGAAATGACTTCCCTGGGTGATGTGGACATGATAGAATTGAAGGCATTTCTGGGATTGTTGATTTATACATCGATATTCAATTCCAATCATGAAAATATTGAGATGATTTTTGCTACCGAAGGGACTGGCAGAGACATATGGCCATCATGAGTAAAAACCGTTTTTCAATTCTCTTGTCTGCAATCAGATTCGATGATCCAGGAACAAGGGCCGAGCGGAAAAAAGAAAATCCAACAGCGGCAATTCCACAAATCTTCAGCAAATTTATTCAGCATTCATATGGAACGGGCGATGCGGTGACAATCGATAAAATGCTTGTAAGTCTTAGAGGACGAACGCACTTCAAGATGTACATGCCGAACAAGCCATGCAAATATGGCATCAAAATAATGTGTTTAACAGATTCCAGAACAAGCTATCTCTATAACGCGGTCTATACTGGAAAAAATTCAGATGGAATGGGTCTGAGAACTGAAAAGCGGACATTTTCTAAGCCAACTCGGGCAGTAATACGCTTGGCAAAACCACTTTTTGGTAGTAATCGAAATATTACTGCTGATAATTGGTTTATATCTATAGAGCTTGTGGATATTTTGTGGAAAAACAAACTCACCTATGTCGGCACAATGAAAAAAAAAATAAAATATTAATTCCACCTGAATTTTTGCCGCACAAAAATAGAGAAGAAAATTCGTCATTGTATGGATTTAGAGAAGAGGTCACTATGATACCTTACGTAGGTAAGAAACGTAAAGCTACAGTATTAGTTTCCTCCGTGCCTAATAAAGGCTTTACTGATCCTGTCACAGAAAAACCCGAAATAATTGCGAATTATAATCGTAACAAAGGCGGAGTAGACACGATTGAGGAAAAATGCTCAAAAAGTTCAACAAGTCGACGCACTCGCAGATGGACTCTTGCGGTGTTTTTTCGGATGCTTGATATATCTATCATTAATTCATATACAGAGTGACGAGAAAATAGATGCGCAGCCGCTGGGGGGAGATAGTACAAGCCAATCTGAGTCGATTTTACTACAGTACTGTCCGAAAATTAGCCGTTTTTGAATTATACTGGTTTTTAAGACTTTATAAAATTAACGTCGTTTATACGTTAACCAAGTCATAAAAAGTGAAAATTGTTTGTTTCATTTGATTTGGTTCTTTCAATTAAAATATTCTAAAATACGAAAATTGATACGTTATTGATGTTATCTCATGCAGTAAGTTTCAAAATAGCTTGATTTCTGATCATCGTTCATCTCAAAATCTTCAGTTTACTATAAAAAGTCCCATACAATCGTACAAAATAATTAGAAAACATCTACGTTTCATTGCCTTTCAAATGAGGTATAAAAATCACAAATCGATTAAGAATTGGAAAAAATGCGACTATTATAAGAGGAGGAAGGAAAAAGCAATAAAAATTCTACACTTACAAAATCATACCTTAATGCAGGATGATTTGTTTGAGCAACATTTTTTTTTTGTTTTTATAATACATTTTCAATATGGCGCCCTCTATTTCTAATGCTCACACGTGCTCTTCTTTGACAGCTGATTTTACTACCGCCGAATTCCTAAGAGAGGCTTGAATTTCTTGTGTGTATTATCCTGTTTCTGAGTTCTTCTATTGTGGGTACAGGATTTTGATCAGAGTATAATAAAGTTTTCATGCGCCTCTACACAAAAAGTCCATAGGTGTGAGATCGGGGACTGCGTGCTGGCCATGGGATTGGCCCGCCTCTACCGATCCATCGATTCGGAAACTGCTCATTTAACCAATTTCTAAGACTTAGTCTGAAATGTGCTGGGCACCCATCATGCTGAAAAATTATTCTGTGTCTTGTGTGCAGCGGCACGGCACGTCTTCAAGTAATTCAGATAGGACATTTCTTGAGAAATTTTCGTAGGCCTATCCATTAAAGTTTTCGGGTCATAACAAACAGTTATTTATAACGCCCATCCAGACATTCAGGCAAAATCGCCTTTGAGATCCTTTTGGTCTCTTCATATGAGGATTTCCCACTGCACGTTTACGCCAATAGTGAGCGTTAAGGTAGTTTGTTATGCAGTCTTTATCAAATTTTGATTCGTCAGTTCATAGAATTTTTCTTAAATAATTGCTATCTTCAACATCAGCGTTTAAAATAAAACGACAAAATTGCATGCGCCTCATGGGATCTCATTCCTTTATGACGTGCACAGGTGGGTAGTGGCAAGGGTAGAATATGTTTTCATGCAAAACATACCACACTTGCCATTGGGATAATCCAAGCCGTCGAGCCACAGCGCGAGTAGCGAGAGTAGGGTCTCTTTGGAAAATATTTAGTATTTCATCTTCTTCTTCCACATCATGTCGAGGTCTACCTGCATCACATGAAATAAAATGAAAAAACAAATAACAAGTTTTTTGGAGGAAATTGTTACCTAATAAACATAGCGGTAAGAGCTAGAGTTGGCAAACTATTATTTAGAAAAAACGATACACAACGTGTGGATGTTTCCATCTTCAGAGCCGAGTAGATGCTCGTGTTAAAATTAAATGAACAAACCCTTAATTAAGAACTTCAATCAACTGTATCAAAACAACTATGTTACAGTATCATCAGTTCAGCCCACAGACCTGCAAGGCTCTACACAGGCCTTACTGGATGACTGATTATGATGAGTTAATAATTATCAATGATGCTTACCTTGATATCTTATGACGGTACCGCGCTCTCGAACCCGCCGGAACATTTGACTAAATACGCGGGCGTCAGGTAGGCGACGATTAGAAAACATTTCTCCATACTCACGACGAGCTTCTTCAGCATTGCCTCTGGCATCTCCATAGTACAAAAGGATATCGGCATATTCTTCGAAACTGAACGGCCGCCTCCTTTGTTCACCAGCCATTGTTCATCGATAGGTAGATCAACGAACAATCAAGTGACACAGCAGCCAAGTCGTACGGAATCACAGAAAACAGGGTACAGTCTAGGTCGTCAGGAAAAGAATCACACACGGAAGTCCAACAAGAGGCAAGTCGTTAGAAATATCAAAACAGCGAGCAAACAAACATATCCGACTGCAGCAAATCGCAAGAGCGAGGGAGGGTTTGGGGTGACTAGTCATACTTATCACACTATTCTGGTGGCAAAGTCCGATGTTCGCGGCTCTACCTGCTTCTTTCACTCATATCTTTGTCATTTCTAAACCGGTTTGTGACTTTGATACATCATTTGAAAGGTAACGAAACGTAGATATTTTAAAATTATTTTTCACGAAAAATTTTTAGGTGATTGTTTATATTAAATTTAGTTTTTTATATATAAGATTTTTTTTATATATAAGATTTTTTTTTAACAAAAATTGAACTATTTTGAAGCTTACTGCATGAGATAACGTCAGCAATGTACATTTGAGTATCAATTTTTGTATTTTAGAATATTTTTATTGTAAAATAAAAAAAAATCAAATAAATCACCCAATTTTCAAGTTTTATGACTTGGTTAACGTATAAAAGATCTTAATTTTATAAAATCTTAAAAATTAGTATAATTCGAAAACGGCTAATTTTCGGACAGTAGTTCCTATAGTAAAATCGACTCATATTGGCTTGTAGTATCTCCCCCCACCGGCTCCGCTTCTATTTTCCCGTCACCCTGTATTTTACACCAATGTCTCAAGAACAATACAATAATCAGGGAAAAGTCAGTTTATGCGAAAGCGTTAGCAGAAACGTTAGTTCGAGAGCATATGGAAGGGCGGTTGATGAATCCAAGAGTACCACGCGAAATCAAATCGAATATTAGCAGAATCTTAGGAATTCCAAAAGAACAAACGCCACTGAATGAGCAAGAACTAGTGCTTGAAAAACACAAAGGGTGTATCTTTGTCCGAGACCGAAACACCGAATGACTAAATATCTTGTGATTCATGCATATGTAAACGCGATGTTTGAGTCATGCTGCAGACTCACTTGTTTTATTTTAGGGCTTTTTCTGTATCAATTTACATAATATAGGACTTTGCGCATAAGTATTTATGAAATATGTATATTTGTTTTGGTTTTTTTATATATTCGTTAGTTAACTAGAGATAGTGTGCAATTTAGAACTCTTTCCATACACTTTCAAGCCTTTTGACCTTTTTGTTGTTTTTTGGCACTTGAATCGATGACAATTTCGATTATTTTATTTCTTAATATGTGTATTTGTGGCATTTAAGTACTTATTAAACATTATCTAGAATAGTATTATTTTATTCATCTATCAAAATATTTCAGGTGGGTGGTTAAGGCTAAATAAGTATTTATTAATTATTTATATTTATTCTTGTTGAACAAAATAAGATCTAATACAGATTCTAATCTTAGGGGTAAAAAGAAAGGACCAATCAAATTTTCACCAACAATACCCATACACTTATCTAAAGAAAATTGTTCCTTGTGACGACATTGCACGTAAGCATGAGGATTTTCGTCACCACATACATGAGTGTTATGGTAATTTACAATACCAATACGTCGAAATCGTACTGCGTCCGTAAAAAGTATTGTTTTATTAAAATTCCTATTATTATTAACCTTTTGGTCATACCGTTGGCAAAACTGTAAACGAGGTAGAAAATCTTTTGCTAATAATGCTTGCACATGTTGGACATGATAGGGATACAAAAGTTGCTCGAAGAGAACCTGCCACACAGTGCTGTTAGAATAATTATCCCCTAATCAAGTTGCTATAGTCCTGGTACTGATACCAGGATTTTGTTCCACGGCACGTAAAACTGCGTCGTCAAAGTCAGGCGTTCTTATGGACCTCGGCCAGTTCCTATCATTGGTGGGAATGGCAAGACTTCTTAAATAACATTATTGTCAAAAACATCACAAAAAGGAAATAAGAAAATTTACCCCTTTCGCGTAATCTATAGTCTACGCTTTCAAAGGTTTTGGAAGTTGCCGATGGGGAAACGCTTCTTCATACAGGCGCCTCGCTGCAAAACAGTTACTACAAGCACATGCATACATTAATGCATGTCTGCCATTTCCTCAAAAGTGTAATTTTCTATCTCAAAGACCGAGACGAAAACTTTTTAGAGGCATTTTGCACAGAAAATTACTCAAATAATTAAAAACTTATAAACCAATTTTGTCCAGTGACATGCAATAAAACATTTTTTATTTCTCGAAAACGCAGTGAGATACAAGATGCAGAGAAGTTGTTCAGATGCTTAATCAAACAACAAATATTTTAGAGTTCCAAATAAGGCGGTGGCGTACATTTTTTGCTAATGATATTCGCTAAGGTGCCCCCCGGACGCCACTGAACCTAACAATTTTAATCTATTCAGGGTAAAATAAGCCTCTGAATACAACAATTAATATTATCAAATTTTAACCCAATCCAGTAAATATTTACTAAAACGTTAATAAAAAATATTTTTGAAATTTATCACCCTGTACCTTGAAAACTACATGTTTTGTAGGAACTTTTTTCATATTTTGTTACAAAAAATCACCCTCTAATTGTCTAATTGTCCATGTCTATTTTTCGAACATCCTGTAAAGGCTAGGACATGTTTCTCAACGCTAACCCAGTCTACAACTTTTGCGAATGAAGCATCGAGGGATCGCGCATTCAAATTGTATGTTTCACCAAACGAGCTTCTGCTTATCCGAATAACAAAACTCGTTACATAACAGACATCCACACTCTAGCTGCGTTTTTCCTAATAAGTCTCTTAGTGTAAAGTTTTCCAGAGACACCAAGTATCCAATGCTGAGTTACAAGAGCTGGACGCCGTTTCAACTGTGACCTACATTCCTTCGCAGTGTATTTCCATTTGAATATATACATGTTGAAGCTAACGCGACGAGAAACCCTGATATATTAAAATGCACAAAGATATCACCTCATTTTCTTAGCTCAAAACTAGGGAACCGTAACTTCCAGGAAACTCATAGCTGCTGGATAATGGCTTGAATAAAGTAGCGAGGTGAGACTTTATGTACTGGAAAATAAGTGAGCTTCGAATAAAGTCCCTTTGTTTTTATTAGCCTTTTTACTATCTCACCATGGATTTTGCTGCACCGGATTGACAACCTTATAAATTACGGAGGCAATAAACTTGAGCCAATTTGCGAGAATGTAGATATTTCAACAGAGTCGTTAAGTTATTGCAAGCGTATACGGAGAGATCGTTAATTCGAGATTGATTCAGAAAACAACAGTAAAACTTCGCTCATTAGACTGTTGATATTGGTGTTAAAATAATTAACTGATAAATAGGGTGTAAATCCTATTTCTCGACATATCTAAAAATTGTTCTAGAATCTTTGTTTGACAGAGAGCGCGTGTCCTCTGTTGCTTCTAGCTTCGGAACACTTTTTGTAGTGCGAATCATTTGGCGGAATACCAGCCACCACCAGCAGGGCATCGGTCAACATCGTTCTCGACCTTGACCTACTTTGTCAAAATTATGCACCTCTACTGAGGACTCGGTCAGATGACATCAGCCATATAAAGGATGCATCGGCTTCATTAACCTTATCAATGGCATGTCTTATACGAGGGATGTCTTTTAAGTTTTGCATATTGCATTGAAGATAGACATGTGACATATCGCGAGATTAAGGCATCCTTGAAGATCGCAAAGACATCAATTTGAAAAATTTTACATGAAGAATTAGGAGTAAGAAAATTAGTTTCTCGTTGGATACCCCACCTGTTGACTGAAGAGCAGAAAGCAGTCAGTGTTAATTGGTGTCAAAAAAACGCCTTACCGTTACAATTCCGGAAACTCAAAAAACGTGTATAGCATTGTTGGTGGTGATAAATCATGGATTTACTGTTATGAACTAGAAAATAAACGACAGTCGGCTGGTTGGGTGTTCAAAGGTGAAGAAAAGCCAACAAAAGTCATCCGTTCTCGAAGTGTTTCGAAAAAGATGGTCGCGAAATTTGTGTCAAAAGCGGGTCATGTTGCAACAATTCCTCTTAATCTTAAGACCTGTTACTGCAGATTGGTATACCACCATTTGTTCGCCAAAAGTAGTCACCGAGCTTCAAAAAATCAACTCCGAAGGAAGAATCATCCTCCAGCAAGACAATGCAAGCTCACACACTGCCCAAAAAGCAAGGCAGTATTTAACGGAAGAAAACGTGGAATTTTTGGACCATCCTCCATATAGTATCGATCTAAGTCCTAACGATTTCTTTACTTTCCATAAAATTAAAAACAGACTGCGTGTTCAAAGGTTCCAGTCACCAGAAGAAGCAGTTGACGCATTCAAAAATGCCATTTTGGATTTGCCAGCAAACGAGTGGAATAAGTGCTTCGAAAATTGGTTCGAGCGCATGCAGATGTGCATTGATCTTCGTGGAGAATACTTCGAAAAACAATAAGGTCATTTAAAACTACCTACCGTATTGTTTTATTTCCATATGCAAAACTTAAAAGACATCCCTCGTATGTATGTTCAGTCATTTTCAGATGTTTGTCGAGCCATACACCCAGGTGCTTGATTGCATTTTGGCTTCAACTCTCTGAGTTCTCAACCTAAATGGCTAGTGAAGTAAGGTTCTGTCAACCGGAAAGTATAACCACTCCTATCTCCTCAGAAGTTGATATCAAGTCATTTTTTTTCCATTCAGATGGTAATTCTCATGATTCCATATGCCAAAAGTCTGTCTAGTGTATCTCCCTTTTTGCTAGTGTCTATCATCGCCAGGATGTCAGCATCAGGCGAATACCAGAAAGCATTTGTACACGAAGTACCCCATCGTAGAATAGGTTGCAAAGGAACGACCCCAGGACAGAGCCCTGCGGCACTTCCATGGTTGGTTACGTCGTCTCTTGTCTCACCATAAACATTCTCTCGTTGAAATAGCTCTTATTGATAATCAACAGAAAGCTAGTCTCTAGCTTGATGAGAGATCAAATATTCTTCTGCCATTGTACCGCGTTAAAGGCATTTCTTAACGTCAAAGGTAACTACCTAGTTGAATCAGTGCACTAAGTGCGTCTAGGTAGACTTTCCCATTATAAATCCATATTGTGAGGGAGGCAGTCTGTTCTTTCTTTGAGGTATTTTCTTAGCCCACCTTGTATCAGTATAATGTTTTGGACCGTTCGAATAACTTAAGCTTATTCAGATCTCTCTCTCGTCCTTGAGGAGTCGTGAAATCACGCGTTTGAGACATTCACAATTTGAGAGCAAGTAAGTAAGTTTGTGGAAGGTACTTGATTAGTACTGCCTGATTGTCAAACGATCTTTAAGAAGATGCTTGTTCTGGGCGACTCTAGTAAGTACCAGATGAGAAACGTAACTAGCATATATTGCCACAGTACCCACCTAACTTCATTGGTTGGTAACTGCTTTGTTATTGATATGATTGTATGAACATCCAACACGAATCGACATTTCTGTCAGCAACAGAACGAAGAAACAAGTTGAAAAAATATTTTTTTTGAGTGTAACACTTCTGATGATACTGAGTATATCTCAGACATTTCTCAAATGCAATGCTGATCTTTTCTTCCCGCAGACATTCGTCAGAAAGTTTCTGACAAAAGGGCTGCAATTAAACAAGCGAAAAGGTCTTGTCATCCTGATGACATTCGCAGAGCGACGACTTGTTCATGAAGTAGGAAATGCTCTTCATGAATTCCGCAATGAGCAATGGAACGACTTTCTGGCGGGGATGCTTGACTCTGGAAAGTGGCGAAGTCGCTCAGAAACGGAAAGCGAGAACAACTCCCGCACATCCACGGTCCTGGGGGCATAGTCTTCAGGACAGAGGACAAGGTCGAGGTTTTCGCTGATGCTATGGAACGACAGTTCTCTCCCAACCATGACCTTGATAATGATCTTGACGAGGATCAACAAATTGTAAAATCCGTCGGAAGATATTTTAGAAGAGTTGCACAGCACATCAGCGGTTTCTCCCGAGATCCCGCATTGGACACCAGCAGAGCTTCAAGGTCATATGAAAGACCTCAAGGTGCGTAAAGCGCCTGGGGAGCATCAAATCACTAATAAGGCGCTGAAGCTGCTTTCACGGAAGTCCTTGACTTATCTCGTGGCTATTATCAATGCCTTGGTAAGGACTCAGTAATTTTCATCGGCGTGGAAGACTGCGGAAGTTATAATGATTCCAAAGAAGATGGGTTCGATATTTCCCCAGGACTATCGTCCAACCAGCCTACTGTCTGCTCCGTCTAAGCTCGGTGAAAAGGTGACACTTTGCGAATTTCTCGTCAGATCACCATCTGATTCCTGACGTGCAGTTTGGATTTCAGTCTGGGTATAGTACGGAGTTACAGGCGGTTAGGCTTGTGGAGCGAGTAACCAGGGGCTTCACCCTTAACGAAAGTACTGGCATCTTGCTTCTGGATGTCTAGAAGGCATTTGACAAGGTGTGGCACAAGAGCCTTCTCTACAAATTGATCCATGAGGGATTCCCCTTCTGGCTCCCAAAACTTTTGGAATCCTTCCTTGAATGTAGGAAATTTTGGATCAAAATTAATAATGTCTTGTCGAAAGTACGGCCCGTCAGAGCCGGCGTCCCTCAGAGTTCGGTTCTAGGGCCAATCCTTTACTCACTTTTCACGCATGATATCCCTTGCCCTAGCGACTGTGAAGTCTATCTATATACTGCTGACACTGCACTGGTGGCCCAGTCGCGTACCGGGAATCTGGTTCACGACAGGTTACATAGTGCGCTGGATGAGGGATTGGAATGGGCAGATCGGTGGCTAATCAAAATTAATTACTCGAAAACGCAGGCTGTCCATAGCATGGGGAAATTCTGCTAAGTATCTCGGTGTCACTCTTGACAGGAGGAGGACCTGGCAGAACCACAGTGAAGCGTTAAAAACTAAATTCCAAATTACGTTTCGGCAACTCTACCCTATGCTATGTAGAGCATCAAAATTGAGTTTGGTTAACAAAGTTCGGCTATACAAGATGGTTACCAGACCAGCAATCCCTTACGCATGTGCACCATGGTGATTTCTTGCCACATGCGTAATCTGCAGGTTTAAAACTTTGCGAACTAACGCATCTCCAACGAGAGACCTCGACATCCCTAACCTAAGGGACTACTTCAAACTTCAGGCGCAGTTGCGTTATAGTCAAGCGAAATCGCACAGCAACCCTCTGTTGCGTGAGTCAGTAGACTACACAGTCGAGCGAGTTCGCTCGCACTATGATCAAAATCAAATCGTGCAATTCTATATCCAACCAAAATTACAATTCTTGCCACACACAGATTCCTAAATTAATTGTTGGATTTATCCAAAATAATCGAATATCAGTTAACAATAGCAAGGCATCCCTTTAACCGGCGCACTTCACCCTCTTTGCTCTTTTCCATTCCTTCCTTGCTTTCTTCTTCCTGTCTTCCTCCCTGACTTCGTCTGGTATTTGGGCAACCAGACCTACTGACCTACGATACTTTAACAAAGAGCGAAGGTCCCACGGACCGCTCTGATGGACAATGACGAATAGAATAGAACGAGCTGATTTCTTTATCTGTCCATTTTCTCATACTGTATCTCGCTCCCCGACTAAAGACTCATCCCCGTACACAGTGGTATTTAAGAGGGAGCCTTCCATGAAGCAGGACGTATTTTTCGCAAAAGGGCTAATGCTTTAGAACCGCACAAAGGTAAAGGGAAACAAAGCTCAGCAGTTATTAACGTGTTTTCTAATTGCCTTCTGATTATTCAACGACAAAGGAGCTCCAAGACGCCTGAGGCTCGGCTGCTGCACAGGACACTTTGCTATTGCACCGCAAAAAGCTTTTCTCTATAAAGGAAGGTATAAATTCTGCATAGCCAGATGTGACTCTTAGTACGGACTGTCATTGTTATAGTTAAGGTTCTACAGTTTTGGCACAAAATATGGGGTTGTCCAAAACGGACGCAGGAAAGTAAACGCATATTAAAACAAGAAAGATTGATATTCAAATCAAGTTGGGTACTTTATTTTGAAGGTTCATTTATACCATTTATGTATGAAAAATAATATCGTTCAAATGTTCACCACGACTGGATTTACAGACGTTCACGCGATGGTCGAAATTTCCAAGGACCTTTTGCAACATGGTCGGTTCTATGGCATTTATCTCGGCAATGATGTTGTTTTTGAGTGCTTGGAGGGTGGCTGGTTTGTTGACGTAGACTTTGCTTTTCAAATATCCCCATAAAAAGAAAATGTTGGAAATAAACATCGTCCATATCCATTCCTTCAAGTTGCGGCAAAAAATAGTCCTCTATCATCACGTGGTATCGCTCAGAATTGACGGTAACGGCGTCCCCGGCCGCATTTTCGAAAAAGTAAGGTCCGATGATGCCTTTTGACCACAATGCACACCACACAGTCACTTTTTGAGGATGCATCGGCTGCTCTTGATACTCACGGGGATTTTCGTTCGCCCAGATGCGGCAGTTTTGCTTGTTTACCGTCCCATTCAAAGTGAAATGCGCTTCGTCGCTGAACATGATTTTTGATGAAAAATTGGCATCAATTTGGCGGTGTTCAAGGAGCCAATCTGAGAACGTTCGGCGCGAAAAATGGTCGGCCCGACGCAGCTCTTGCGTCAGTTGGATCTTGTAGGCGTGTACATTCAAATCGTTGTGGAGAATGCGGAGCAAACTGGTTCTCGAAATGCCCAATTCTTGGGATCGACACGTTGTTGATTGTTTCGGATCGTCTCTCACACTCTCCTTCACAACAGCAATATTTTCCAGTGTGCGAACGCTCCTTGGCCGGCCAGAGCCTGGCAGATTTGCCAAAGAACCTGTTGCCTCGAATTTTCGCACCAGACGTCCGATGGTTGTTTCGTATTTTTGCACCATTTTTGTAGTGCTCTTGAATAACTTTAATACGGTCTTCAATCGAATACGACTCCATAGCGATCAATGGTAAACATTCAACTAACAAAATGACATGTCGGTGACAGAAAACAAAGATGGCGTCTATGTCAAATTGACCTTTACTTTCCTGCGTCCCTATTGGACAACCCTTTACATTGGCTTTAATTTTAACAAACACAAAACAATATCAAGTTGCCTTTGGAAACAAAAGTTTGTTCACTTACTTTACTGTCAGTTGACATTTATTTATTTTGAAGTTTTATTTTTATAAATTAGAAATAAGAAAATGTATCGACAAGTTTAAGCTAGGCCCAAAAATATGTTTGATTAAACTGAACACAAATGTGGAGGAATCAGTTATCATGCAGAACAAATATAAACTGAAGCGACGTGGCGGAGAGCAAATCTTCATAAATGATGATCTCAGAAGGTCAGAGATGGAAATGAGAAAAGCAATAAGAGCTAGGGCACAAGAAGAAAAGGCTAAAGGGAAAGAGGTAAAAGTAGGTTCTAAAAAGATTACAATAGACCGACAGGAGTGGAGATGGGACAAAGGTAGAGCAAGACTGGTGTCAAAAAACTAAGGCAATCTGAAGAGGAAAGGCTCAATAAGATGGACAAGGCACGCAAAATAAAATATAACCAAGCAGATAGGAACGA